GTTAGAACAATTAACCAGTGGAACAACCTGCCTCCAGAAGTGGTGAATGCTCCAACACTGGAAGTTTTTAAGAAGAGACTGGACAGCCATTTATCTGAAATGGTGTAGGGTTCCTGCCTGAGCAGGGGGTTGGACTCGATGACCTCCAAGGTCCCTTCCAACTTTTATTATTATTATTATTACTATTACTATTACTATTACTATTACTATTATTATTATTATTATTATTATCTTCCATTAATATTCAGTCTCCTTTTAAAATTATCCAAGTTTTTGGTTGTTGCTATAGGGCGGGAGAACAAGTTCCACAAATTGTGTACTACATGAAGACGTACTTTTCCCTGTCTTGAATCTCCACTATTCATCTCATTTGATCTGTCTGTCTAGATTGGGGGGGGCTTCCTCCCTCATTGTTCCATGTGCATTCCTCCTGAAGCTGCCTGTCAGTGAAAAACGATGACCACTGCAAAGAGAAGTGTATTTTACATTTAAGAGGGAAAAGGGACAAGATTGAATTATCTGTTGAAAAGAAAGTTGGAAGTCATTTATATACTTCTTAAGTATAGTTTTGGATTTCCCCCCCCCTTTTCTTGCACTTTTTATTTCCTTTTTATTTCCTTTTCTTTTGCTTTGTCTTTTGTTTTATGAAAAATGTTCTTAATAATTAAAAGAAGTGTACAAATTTTTGGTTAAGGTTATATGATAGCTCTCATTAAAATAATTCAACTGGGATGTTAGGTCATAAAACGTCCTTTTATAAGAAACATCGACGAATAACTTACGGTCCATATTAAAATATATCGATCGTTCAGAAAAGAACAAATATAAAATCGGGGTTTAAAGTATTCGAAAGGAGTACCTTGACAACGAGTAAACGGAAAAGCATACGAAAAAAAGACGTGGAATAGGTACTCTTGTATTTATTTTAAAATGCAATGACCAGAACTTGATGCAGTATTCTAAATATGGCCAACAATAATTCAGTTAAGGGTATTGCAATAGTGGTAGATCCTTTCTTAATAATTGCCTATATGGCTTTTGTATTTTTGTGGAATGTGGAATGAAACTTCAGTGATGCTACTATCAGTCTGTAAACTAACATTCAAGTGTGCATCTGGTATCTGTAATGGTATGTGGGAATGACTTTGGGAGACAGATGAAGAGCCCCAGCTTAGATAATAGTCTGATAAATGAAATCTGAGTCCAAAGGAGGGATTGGGGTGGAAAAAGCATCTCAGAAGGGACCATCCCTAGTTTTCAGGAAAGTAAAACTAAGGGAAGCAAGAGATACAGTCTTTTCAGATTTGCAAAATTCTCTTACTGTAACCTTACAGTAAAGGTAGTGTTAATACTCATGGTTGGTGCTTCTTGTCTAGACTACCTCGAAGGGCTGACAATAATCTGAGTAGGGAAGATCATTACTGATGTGTACTACATTTACAAGATACTAAATTGAAGCAGATTAAAGACAAGGCTAGATTGACAGGTTATGTGCCTGAATATAAGGCAGCTTTCTAAGCCACACCTGGTCCCTACTCCTTTATGCACATGGAACTGACTTTTGACCAAGGCAGTCTGATGTCTGTCTATCTTGGAACTTGCAATGAATCTGTAAAACACATTGGCTTCTCCTATTCAACTTAGCAGGGATGTTTTCTGATACATGTAAAGAGCAATGACTCATAAAAAGAGAGCTTGCTCTTTGGAAAATATTTAAGAATGTTATTGTTTGATGTTATTGAAATGGCTAATTTATATTATTTTGTAAAAGTAAAAAATTGAGGTTTGAAGTTGATACCCTATTGCACCAAAGGAAGTTGGAAGTCAATGCCTTTTTTTTTCTTTTTCCCCCCTTATTTCACTTCTCTACTCCCTTTTCCTTTCCCAATCTTTTCCACTATTTACTTTTGTATTTACATTGTATCGTATATTGTAAACTAAAACTTTGAGTAAAAAAAGGAAAATATTTCAGAATGTGTATTTAAAATATATTTTCTGCTTGATTGATCAGAGACAACCATTTAGCCATTTACATTTTACACACAATGTCTAATATATTCATTCAACCCTTAAATCTAAGCTTTATTCTGTACATAACATTAGAAAAATGATTTTGCTGAAATGAGAATATAACCAGTTCAGTTATTGTCTTCCTTTAGTTACCTTTTCAGAAATAAATCTCACTGCATTTGTTAGGATTTACAGGTGCTTGGCATTAGTGCAGCCTCTTTTCTTTTTTTGTGACACCTCTAGACATGTATGAATTTTGGTGACATGTTTACTAAAAGTTAGTGATTTGTATAATTTGCAAATTAATTTGCAAATTTTAAAAACAAAAACAGTCCTGACGGTTATTCCCCAGTTATCCCCACCTACTTTATATCTTCATCCACCATTACCACTCTACCTGCTGTTGGCGACTAGTCTAGATCTACTCCACTCTTTTTGGCTGTCAGATATGCTTCCTTCCTTGTACAGAATAATTGCTATTACTTTCTAAGCTGAAGGAGATCTTCCCCAGAGGATGAAACCATTTTGAATGATCTTCCGTTGAGAGACATTGCTGATAACAATGTCTCAATGTGGGTATCTTTCCCTGAGCTACTGAATGTCACATTGGAGCTACTGTTAGAGTTTCTGAAGTTTGAATAACTTCAGCCTCCATGCTGTAAGGAAGGGGACTAGTGTAGCTCATGTCTTTGTGGCCTGCATGACAGTTATTGGACTAGTACTAGTTGAAAGCAATTGCAGGACCAAAACTATTGAGAGGAAACATGCTGTGTGCTTTTAACACAGGACAAAAAGAAGAAATGAGCCATTTTCAGGTTGAATTGTATGCCAGAGGTCCCCAACGTTTGCAGCTTGATGGCCTGGCTGGGGGGGAGAGAAGGGAACTGGGCCCTATGAGTGGTGGGCCAGTGCGTGTGCCTGCGCAGCTCCACTCATACAAGAGAGAAGCTTTGAGGCACCGCACCACTCACACAAGTGGGGATGCACACGCGCCAGCCTGCCACTCATGCAGCCGCTTGCAAATAGGCCATGGACCGGTAGTGGGCCATAGCCCACAGGTTGGGGACCCCTGTTGTACGCCATCCAAGTTTGGGGAAATCTTGGAATAAGTGAAAGTGGCATTAGTGAGAACTAAGCACCTTATTATAAAAATAGCAGAATATGCCATTCACTCAATAGCATTCTCCTTTAGGACCAAGCAAAATGTCTCAGGCCTACTGAAAGGGTTCTTAATTCTTCAGAACTCTTCATTAGCTAAGTGTGGTAACATTCACAGAATTAGAATAGTACTCAAAAGTCCAGTTGTTCCTACACATTAAGGATTTCCATTGTAGAGTAAGACTCAGTCATGAGGATAACAGTAAATAGGCTAGTCTTCCCCTCCCCAAAGTGATACAAGTACTGCGTCAAGTTTCTCCTAGGATTCTAGAACAATAAAGGGGGGGGAGCCTGAATCCTTTGAATCCCCAAAAGGTTGCTGGCTGGGGAATTCTGAGACTTGAAGTCCAAATATCTTAAAGTTGCCAAGTTTGAAAAACACTGTGCTTATTCTATCAAATATGCAGAGCATCCTACCAAAAGTATTGCCCAAGTCATGTTTTAGAGATTTGTCCCTCCATATATCAGCTGTATCCGATTTTGCTTTTTATCATGCCTCTGCCCCAGAAGTTGGAGCTTGTTATTTAGTGCCATCTTGAGGCGAAAGATATAATCATTGCTTTAAAATTGATGGACAGTGTCTTTAAGAACTTTTCCACAAATATCCAGTAATGCTGTTTATTTGAATGCTTTTCTTTATTTCTGCATATCTTTAGAGACTTTCAGAACCTTTAATTTTTTGTTCATAAAAGTCTAATCTAGTCTGCCTCATCTTGGTTGTCTATTGATACATTGGACAACCAAGTCTGTAATTCCAAGACAGGATGTCTGTTTTAGCTGGGCATAATAAAAATTAAAGTCCAACAGATCTAAAGGTTACTAGATTGAAAACAGTTGCTCTAATATGTAGCTGTAAAAAGAACAAAACTGGGACAGGGAGCTGTGGATTGCAAAGAAAACTGCATCTCTTCCCCATCCCAGTGTGTCTTTGAGGGGCACCTCGGTCCAGAGAGGAAGAGGGCTCACCCATCAACCAGCAGTGCGGTCCAGCCAACCTTACCTCACCGGCATGGATCTGAGTCACTCTCTCATCTTTCCTTTGCTGCCTGCTGCCATTAAGAGATTTCAAATTTCAGCCTCTGTTCCAAAGCAGCCAATCACCACTCTCCCATTGGACTTTGCCATCAACTAATTGGGTGCAGTAGTAGAGTGGGAGTGATTTCCACCTTCCTGCCAGTTTTCTCATTGATTTTGCTTGTGGGAAGTTGGCAGGGAGCATCAGAAATCCTCCATAAGGCACTTCTGGCCATCATAAATTGTCGCACACATGCCCTCTCTAAGATCCCATGACTGCATTTTTGGGCTCATGGCAACTAATTCACATTTGCAGCTGGTTGCAGTGTTCCTCAGTCATGTGATAGCAATTTGTGATTTTTTTGTCAGTTTTTGGCAAAAAGTACCCATTCAGAAGAATGAATTTGGACTTATGCCTGCATGATTTACTTAACAACATCTTGAAAACAGTCATAAAATCATAAAGTGTGGGTTCCTTGATTTATGACAGTCATGAGTTATAACTAAAATTCCAATCCCAGTTGCAGCCATAAGTTGAGGACTATCTATAAATAAATTCTGGAATGCATGAAGCTCACACAGAATCCACTTTGCCCATTGGAATGTGAGCAGAGCCTAGACCACAATTCCTTTTGCTTGAGAACAATATGCTTTAGGACCAACAGGGAATCTTGCCAATCATTACTGGAGTTTTCAATAAATATTAGTTCCTTTTATTATTTATTTGGTGTATAGCCCATCTTAGCCTAGAGATGCCCATGAAAGATGTGTATTAATAATGATGAAGATGTAATGATTGAACAATTACAACATAAATCAAATGCAGTTTAATTCATAAACAGACCATTAAAGTTAAGGTGTTTCACTGTTTGATTGTTATATTAGTATTAGCTTATACAATAGAGCCTCCTATGGTATTTTTTCTTGATTTCCCAAAAAAGATTGGTTTATATATTATTTATTTAAACAATTTATATTTCAACCCAAAAAAGATTGGTTTATATATTATTTATTTAAACAATTTATATTTCTACCCAGCCCATAACACGACTCTGAGTGGTACAACCAAAAACAAAATTTAACCAAGTACAATCCAGAAATAATAATAGTAGTAATGTTGATATATATGGTAATGTGGTCTAAAACCGTCCATTTTAATCCATACAGATCAAATAATCCACCAAGAGAACTGATTTAACCTCTCAATACATGTAGCTGAGGATTAGATATTTTGATCCAGCCAAAAGTAACAATGCACATTTTATATCCCATAACTTTGATTTATTTTAGATTTTGCAGCCCACTTTCTTCAAGTTCATTTACATTTGCAACAGTGTCTTTCTGAGGAAGGAATGGGATATTGTTGCAATTACCGGTAATAGACCCATATCTTAGCTGCTTCATTTCTAGGTGGTACTTTTCATTTGATGTGGTTGTCTCCTTCATTTCTGACATCTCCTCACCATCTTCATCACTTTCATTTTTCTGAAACAGCCCAGATAATAAATTATGCATTGTAAAAACAAATATATTCTAGAAAGTCTTGATGGAGGAAGCAAAAATGACTGATAGCCACAGGTTTCTCATTACTTTTCTTTTCAGATATGTTTTTAATAGGATGCTTTGGTAGAATTTATATTATGTATTTTATTAGACAATGCTGATTTAAAATGAAACTGTACATGCTTTTGATTCATGCATAGATAACTAAATCAATCCATAGTCTAATTAATGTGGAAAGACTTGAACTTAGTGGAATAGGGTGGACTATGCACTCAAAAAAGTATCAGCACTGAGATTTTCTCTGCTTCTTCAAAATGAAGCATACAGAATGCCTTAATAATACTGTATGAGCATTATAGAAAGAACACAACTTTTTTGGTATGTCTGCATTAGTGTTCTCCATCAAAGGTCTACTTTTCATAAGTCACCTTAATTATATGATTTTTTTTCCCCTGATCCCATCCATTACATTTTTGGAACATTGACCATGGCTATTCTATGGGGGTTGATCTTATGGGTGTGGTGGGGGTAGATAGATCTTCTATTAGATTACTATAATTAATATAGAAGCTCTTTTTAAAAAAAATATAATAGAACAATCAATGCAGGTTATCTCACTTGGTACAAAAGGATGGATTTTCCCCTTATCTGTCATCTGTGGAAAAAGGGCCATTGTTTTTGCCTGATTGTACAAATACTTCTGAGTTTTATTGTTAACATAGCCAAATTTCTATGTTATGATATTCAAGGATCCACGTTCACTGTTTTACTTTACTCTTCCTAAATTTCATGGTCTAAGCTAATTGCATTTGTGACATATGGTCTAGCTACACTATCACCTGATCAGATTTTAAGTAGCTCAGCCTCCAATAAAATACCAACTTTATAGAGCAAACAGGTTTCTCAACATGACCAGTTAAGCAGTAATTTTGCTCTGAATTCTTTGAAAGTTATTAAAGGAAAAGTTGTTTCACAAGGTACAGTGTAGTTTACAAGGATCAACATTCTGGGCCATGAATCATGATTATGCAGTGCTTTGGAAAATACCTGATTACTAATGATTTCTTAAAGGAATAAATATTTGAATGCATTTTTTAAAGATAAGCCATTTTTTCTACTTGCTTCTTCCTTCCCGATCTTTTCACGGCCAAGGACATATCTGGAATTTCCAAACAATTATAAAAAAAAAACAATTAAAAAATCAGGTGGACTAGGGGGCTTCCCAATCATAAGGAAAAATGTCTGCAAGCACATTGATGCCAATGGTCACCATTTGGGAGGACCTGGGCATAAATACTGCATGAAGCCCTTAAAATCTGCAGTGACGCTCTTATAATTCTAGAATTTAAGCTCAGATTTCAATTCAGTGATTGATGAGTAGTTTAAGGACAACAAGAAGCATATATTTACATAGTTTTATTAATATCAGGCTTTTTCCCCTTGAAAACTGGATGGGAAGCAGTTAATTCAAGAATGAGAATATAACAGCTCTGACATTTATTGAATGGAAAATAGGATAACAAGAATTCTAGCAAATCTATTTTTAAAATGAAACTATATTAGCAATTTAGGGCAAAAGCCCTCATTTGTTTTCTCTGCTTTTTCTAGTCAGACAGCTAGAATGATCCTTCCCTCCCCCTCTGTTGAGAGAGGGTTGTCCAGTTTTAACATAGATGGCTTCTTTGACACCTCTTTCAAACTAGTGATCCCCTCTGTCCAGAATATGGACAGTTTAAACCCAAGAATACATTAAGGCAGAAGCTTGTCCACCCCAAGGATAAAACACCCAGACACAAACTGAGCAATGTGATACATGCCGTGCAATGCAGTGAGACCTGTACAGATGTGTACATTGGGGAAACAAAACAATCACTCCACAAATGCATGGCACCTCACAAGAGAACAAACCCATCAGGACAAGATTCAGCAGTCCATCTGCATCTGAAAGTCAAAGGTCACTCTTTTGAAGACAACAAAGTCTTCAAAAGGCAAACTGTTTTTGTAATTATTGGTGGGAACATAAAAGCCAGATCATGAAAAGTAACTGTCCACTTAAGATTTGGGCAGGCACAACTTAAGATTCTATGTCCAGTTCTAGGTACTGCAGTGAAAATGGAATATTTTCAAATTTGAGTGAGTTCAGAGGAGAGCTATCAAGTTAGTGACAGGACTGGATACTATGAGGAATGAATAAAGTATATATTTAATATGAAAAAGAGAAAATTGAACGGGGGTATGATAGTTATGTTCAGACAATTAACAGTGTTATCTACGCTACAGGAGTGTTAGATCGCGCAGGCAGTAAGACACGAGTCGAGTGACAGTCAGCTCTCGGTTTATTGGCAAGGCATCAAGTAAATCCGGACTGGCATCTGGGCCAGGGGAGCCCTCTTTTATGGGATTCCCCTGGCTTGTAATCACACAATTCCATTGGCTGGTAAGACCCCGTTGCTAGTTAGCCAACCAGCAACGGGCATGAA